AGAGCGGTTTTGTTTGCTTTTGGGGTTTGTCACGTTTCAACAGTGTCAGCATTCAACATAACTGAAGTAAATGGAAAAATGTGTATTAAGGAAAGTGGATTTGCACCTACTTTATACATCAAATGGGTTAATAAACTGCTTTTGTGCGTTGTCTTCTCAGGTGCGTCTCATGTTGGTGCTGGCTCCCGTCATGTGCATCCTGTCAGGCATTGGTGTGTCCCAGGTGCTAACCACTTACATGAAGAATTTGGATGTCAGCCGGCCAGACAAGAAGAGCAAGAAGCAGCAGGACGCCACCTACCCCATCAAAAATGAGGTAGGAGGTCTGGAAGACTGCTTCAGAGTGCTATTGTGGCTGTTAGAGGGTGTGTCTACAGTCTGTTATCATCATTAGTCATTTTGTATACCATGCAATCGTTCTCAATCAAACTGCAACTTTGGACACACTCCTAGGAAGTGACGTTTTCCTAAGAGTGAATAATTATGTTTTGTTTTACAAGATTTGTCTGGAGCTCTTTCACCGCCACCCACAATAATCCAGCTGCAAGCACTGCTGTTTCTCAATGCGGATACTTCCGTTTGTACGCTTCCATGTAGCTCACTATGTACAGACTTTTGTAGACAGGGTAGTGTTGTCTCAAATCAAACCAGGCCTTTGTGCACTTCCTGGAAATGACGACCTCCTGCTCTTTCTTTTTCTTAATGGCAAATTGCAACCGGACAGAGCATTACCACCAAATTAGCCCAATGAACATACTGATGGCTTCTATTCGACAATAGCATAGTGTATAACTTACATTTTCATTGTGCGGTGTTCTCCAGAGCACCCGCAGCAGCGTTCCTCTTCTGCTACGTAGCCAAAAAGGCGATGATTTGAGGATGAGAAAGTGTCCAGTGTTCCACACTTTTTGACTATCATTATACCATCTGGGCACTCAGAGAGCACTGCATTTGCCATATCCCACTTGTACACTCGAAATAGCAAGTGTAGGTTTTAGGGGTGTCATGACTTCAATTCTAAATTGATCGAAATGAGCTTTCGATTTCCACCATCGCTATGGTTATCTGGCTTATCTGTAGTAAGTGATGTTTCAAACAACTCTGCTGTGAAGAATGCAGGAGGACACCGTAGTAACGTTGCATGAGCTTCTAATTGTGACACCCCTAATAATAAGCATGAAAGAATACAAATTGAGACACAGCATAGGTCTTGCTTTGTGCATTGCATTCATACTCCAGTGTGAACACACTACATACTCAAAACCTGCTGTATGTAGTGTGGATTTGGAACACAGCCTGTACATTTCCTTTTAAAATATGTTTCACAAAAATAACTTTTTAGAGGGAAATATTATTTCTTACTCCACCACATTGACACATTACAGCTACATTACTGGCTATTTTTCAGATTAAGATTTTGCATGAAAACATGATCCATATGAAAAGCTCAAAAACACAATGCAGTGTTAAAGATTAAGTGATTCCCAACCTTCTCTAGTCTAGCCGGGGCCCCCCGTCACGTTTCATGTGAGATGTTCCTCAGTTGTTGTAGTTCCATCAGACATTTCCCCTCTAAAATTCTTATTATTTAAATAACTGTTTGAGGCCCAAAAGAGGTCAAATCTAATATATCACAAAAAGAGAGAAAAGATTAGAAAGTAGTCCAATTAATGTGTATGGATTTGTGTAGCTGTGTATCATCTCATCTTTTATCTTATGACCCTTTTAGAGGGAACCCTGACCCCTTAGTTTGGATTAAACTACTTAACTGTATATAAAGTTGGTTTAGAGTAGCTCCACCTTGAGCAGCTACAACTGTAATATGCTAACATTTTATATGTTAGCATATTACGTTAGCATATGTTTTATATCAGTCACAGAAAAGTACTTTTTCCTTAATACTTTAAACCTGCAGAGCGGAACCTTTGTCTCCCCCTCCTGACAGTGAGAGTAATTACTCAACACTATCCTTACATGCTTCTGACGTTTAGCCGTCTTCATACATACATGCTGCTGTTGCAAGAGGACTTTTACAGGCCTGTTTTTACATTGTGATATTTCTGCTTGAAAGTCTCTGTAGTGCACATGTTCTCTCTCATTGAAAGAATCATTTGAGAGGAGTTGTTTTTTTTTCCCCCCTAAGCAATGTTTTTGTTTCAGTTCTGTGAATAAAAGCAGGGACGGTCCCAGTCAGAAGAGTAAAACCTGATGACATCCTGTGTTGCATATTCCTACCAGGTTGCCAGTGGGATGATTCTGGTCATGGCCTTCTTCCTCATTACATACACCTTCCACTCTACATGGGTGACCAGCGAAGCCTACTCCTCTCCCTCGATAGTCTTGTCGGCACGTGGAGGTGACGGGAGCCGTATCATCTTTGATGACTTCAGAGAGGCCTACTACTGGCTCCGCCACAACACTCCTGAGGTCAGTCATACACGAAGAAAGAATACGTAACCCAGTAAGGTGTTCTTAACTAGGGTTTTGGATGATCTGAATTGTAGACAGATTGTGGTTATGGGTTATTCCCCACCATAGTCATTGATCAAGGGGCTTCCACTTAGTTATTTGATTTATATTTTGTTTCCAGGATGCTAAAGTCATGTCGTGGTGGGATTATGGCTATCAGATAACGGCCATGGCTAATCGAACCATTCTAGTGGACAACAACACATGGAACAACACACACATCTCCAGAGTTGGACAGGTGAGCTGGGTAACCTTCAGGGTTATTCTGTTAATCGTGTTTTTAACGTGCTGCTGACAGGGCTGTTTGTTCTGCAGGCCATGGCATCCACAGAGGAGAGAGCCTATGAGATTATGAGGGAGCTGGATGTCAGCTATGTCTTGGTTATCTTTGGAGGACTGACAGGCTATTCTTCAGATGGTACGTCCCAATTATCAGTAGAGTCAGTACAGAACTTACAACACCGTGGCTTTTAATAAAGCTTGACTTGAACATGCACGTCTACAGACAGTTGGATTTAACAGTCTGTTTGCAAAGCTTAAGCTATGCTATTTGAATGTTACCCTCACATGTAATGGCATTTCATGCGATGGTGTGTAAAACCAACTTTGTAATTGATGTCACAGAAAGTAAAGTAAAAGAATAAGACACATTGGAATGCAATTTTAGCACCACTTGTCTAATTTATTTATTTGTCTGCATCACAGACATCAATAAGTTTCTGTGGATGGTCCGTATTGGGGGAAGCACAGACACAGGCAAACACATCAAGGAGCACGACTACTATACTCCCACTGGAGAATTCAGAGTGGACCGCGAGGGCTCGCCTGTCCTGCTCAACTGCCTGATGTACAAGATGTGCTACTATCGCTTCGGACAGGTCTACACAGAGGCCAGTGAGTAACTCTACAGCCTAGTGTGATCTGTCATCATGCATGACCTGCTGTTACCTTGCAATCAGAGGAAATTTGTGAATGACCCACATGTAAGCATTTTTTAAAATTAGTAGTTTAGTATGATTAATGAGGCAGCTCCTTCATTTATGGCACTCAATATTTTACGAGTTAGACAGAAATGTTAACAGAAACCATGGAGCAAGACTTTGAACAGGACAGCCAATGGATACTGATCAGCTTCTCTCAGCAGACGAGACATTGAGTGATGGATAAATATTGATGTTGCTGGTCTTTCTCATTAAATATGATTGCACAGCCTCTTTTGTACTATAATCTTCTCTGCAGAGCGCCCACCTGGTTATGACAGAGTGAGGAATGCTGAGATTGGAAACAAAGACTTCGAGCTGGACGTGTTGGAAGAGGCCTACACAACAGAGCACTGGCTGGTTAGGATATACAAGGTAAAATGGCTGACTTTCTCTGTAGCGTTGTCTTTGACATATTGTCCTTTTATATCAGTTGATAAGGATTGTTGGAACCCTAAAATAGTTTGCTGGTCTAGATCAGATCTTCTGAAACCATTTCTTTAGGAAATCAAAGTTTTAGACATGACAGATTGAGGGAAACTTGAACAGAAGGGGAAACTACATTTCTATCAGCTAAACCTGGAAGAAGAGCTGCAACAATTAGTCTATTGACAGAAAACTAATCCACAACTATTTTGAATTTTTTGAGGTCATTTTTCAAGCAAATGTTTCTTGGTCTTAAATTTAAGTGAATGTCTTTAGGTTTTGAACTATTGGCTAGAAAAAAGAACATTACGACATCACCCTGGGCTCTAGAAAATTGTGGTTGTATTTGTCACTGTTTTAATGTTCTGGAGGCCAAATCGATCTATTAAACAATCTGAAATAAAAAGTGTTACAGCTCTACCTGGAATACATTTAAAATTAGACTGAGAATTTCTGAAGTCTGAGGTTGGCTTATTCTTGTTTTTAACAAGGCTGCCTTTCAACATCTCTTTCTAACCAAGTCTTGTGTTCCATCTCTTAGGTGAAAGATCTGGACAACCGGGGTCTTTCAAGGACATAAAACCTTCAGACAGCAGTAAAAACAGCCTTTTAGCACACAGCACTGAACACCTTCCCGTGGTCTGCAGATGAGTTGGAAAAGAGTACTTTTTATACTTTTGGTTTGGGGGAAGAAAATTGCATCTGAGATTTTGTTTAGGTTTTTGTGGACGATTTTCATTTTTTTTGTTATAATGAAATGTCTCATCTGGGATCAGAGGGAGCTGGTGTCAAAACGTCCAGTCTGAGGTCAGAATTGTAATTCACCATGAAGCAGTCGAAAGAAAGCAGTGTTCATTTGGGAGCGTGTTGGATTTTTACAATGTGATCAATTAAAGTGGGATTGAACGTGATAAAATGGTGATTTGTCTTTTTTTCCCCCCTCTCAAATGCACTGAATAAATTGACGTTGACTACTGTATATAAAGTTGAACCAGAGAGCAGTTTATATATCGGAGTGAGATCCACAACTGGTTGACAGGATTGCTTCATTACATTTATGAAGTCATCATTTAATACTTGGTTTTTAATCAAAAGAAATCTCATCTCAAAGCACAACTACCAGTGTTTTACATAAAGCAATATTTTATTGTAGTGCAGTTGGCAATACATGTCAATGTTATGTTAAAATTAATAGTATTGGGTTTTCACTGGAGCAAGAAAGGAACAAGCTAAAATGATTTCAGTGAAAATTAATTGCTCAGATGCATTTAGGTAAGTAAAACCATTTGAAAAGTAACGGTATAAAGTGTCCATTAGCTCCAGTCCCAAACATTTCTGAAGGATTTTTTTTTTTAAACCACACAGGCATACCGAGCTCCTCACAGTCTGGGCTGGTCTGGCAAATCTTCCAGAAGTGCAGGGTTTTTTCTGTAGATGTAGGCATTGGCGTCATCATCATCATCCAGCTTCACCAGCTCAGCTAATGACGACACACAGGGATCATGATCCACCAACATCGTCGGCAGACGGGTGGATTTGCGTTCTATGCGGCAGGAACGGCGCACAGGTGTCAGAAACTTAAGATCTTTGATGTTGCTCTTTCTCCTGGATGTACTTCTACTGGCATCATCTGCAATTGCCTTCTTGACACTATTAAGGGATATTTGTAGATGAAACATACAAGTGAAATTAAATTACTTTGTGGCAATTTAACTCATGTTTAATAATGAAACTGAGAAAGATATTGCTAGTGTTAGAAATGGACTCACCTTTGCAGGTATGGAGTGGTTTTTACGCTGTACTTCACTACTGAAGCATCCTCCATCTGTGGCGTCGTCTCCATCACACCCTCATCACTTTCTACTTCCTCGACATCCGTCTCGTCTTCCGGGTCATCACTGTCTTCTCCTTTCTCCTTCACTTGCTCAACCTTTGGCTGCCCAGACATTTCATTCTTCAGCTCCATGGCCTCCAAAACATCACACAGGTTCACAACAATCTGTTGAAATTAAAACAAATACAGTTTATTAAGCCGGAAGGAAATCTTTTTAGAACAGAAATAAAAAAAAATGTACCTGTTTCCTTACATCATCCACTCTGTCCTGTGGGTCAACAGGCAGGTTTTCATCAGAGTTTTCAAGCAAGTCCAGGGTGGTGTTCATGATCACTGGTGTTTGGCTGTGTATCATTAACCCTGCTCCCTGGGTATCTGCACAGTGAGCAGCAGCAGAGTCCGACTCGTGTGCTTCCACACTGGGTTCAGGTTTGCACTGTGCAGCTGGCTGAGGATCAGCATGAGACTGAGGTTTGAGATCAGCTTCAGGTTTTGCAGAGACTTTGGGTTTTGAAGGTGCTGCTGTTGTCATGGCTGGTCTCTTGAAAGTCTTGCCCTTGGAAGCTAGCCACTCTGCCAGTTTCGCTCTGCAGGAGGAACAAAATATTGTTCTTGAACATGTGATGTACAGTAACACCAACGTAATCATGTTTGTACTTAGGAAAAATGTTACCTTCTTTCCTCAGCAGTCTCCACGGTAAATTTGTAGTGGCTGAGGGTGCTTGGGACAGGAATTTTGTTGACTTTCTTGTCATTCACTGGGATCTTTGACTTAGAGTTCTGGGTCCCTCTTCTCTGAGTGGGAGCCACTTTTGTGTTCCTGGAGCTGGTACTGGTTAGGGTTGCTGGGACGGTTCTAGCAGGAGGGCGAGCAGAGTAGAATCCAGCAGGTGGATGGCTGGTGGCGGCAGGCTTGGACATCTGTCTATCCAAGACTGACTTTGACCTTGTCTGTGTGGTTCTTTGGGTGCCATGCCCAGGCAGGTCAGCAACAGATTTGGACCTGATTTTTGTCAAATTTCCAACCAGTTTGCTCTCCGTTCTGGGTGCTGATGGTTTGAGATCCGCCCCACTCACAGTGGCGCTTGACTTCCAAATGGATCCGATTTTTGACTGGACAATCTTGCCTTTGTACATGCCCGGAGGTGGTTTGGATAATGGCACAGCAGCTGGTGGTTTTGGAGCTTCTGCAACTATTCTTTTGTCTTTCACAGCCTGTTCAGTGAGGAAGGCCTGGCTATGTGTTTGTTTGACGTCAGTAGGTCCTTTCACGTCTCTCTGCACAGTCTTTACTTTTTTTAGAGCTTCACCAGACGTTGACCTTGTGTCCACCTGCTTGGCTTTGGCTTTAACAGGACCACTTTTTGCAAAGGTTTCCTCTTTTTTGTTGCTTTTCAGTTGGAAGGGAGCAGCAGACGTTTTATCTCTATTGATAAAAGACTTGCTTCCATATGCAGGCTGAGCATTTTCCTTGTTTCCCTAATACAATTAAAACAACAAGACCATTAGGTAAGCTGAATATGGGCTGAACAAACAACAACTCTTAATAGAACTTAGTTAGAAGTCAACACAAGTACTTAATATAATATTCATTAGCGTTGACCTACTTTCTTAAAGGTGTGGTTTCTTCTTGAAACTGTGACGTCCATTGTGAAGCCTTAAACGGGTTTAAAATGAGGGGAGATTTCTGGAAGGCGAAACAAAGCAATACAAAAATAAACATGAATGCAGTGAATAACTTTGGTCATTAGTTTACATCACTTAGCATGCTAGGATTTTATCTACAGATTATAAATTAAATGTTAATCTACAAGTGCGGTTTTATTGGGCCTCTTCCAGTTATTGAAGCTCCCGCACACTATCAAAACTTACAAATGCCACTGAAAATAACGTTACTTACAGTGTTCGTGTGTTTCTTTTACAGTTTGAGAAAATACTATGTAAATCACAAGTACAATAACATCTACTTTCATGCGAAATGTGCATATATTAAATTGTTGGGCACGTCATATTTGTCGAAAAGCAAGAAAACATTCATATTAAAACACGTTGGCTTAAGGTCAGTGGTCTGACGTAACGTTAACGTTGTGCTCACATCTTTAAGTTAACTGACATGAGGGATAAAATCGAATAAACGTTAATGTTAGCGGGACGTTAGCTGTATGGAACAAAGGTTTTATGGGGGGTTTTTTGAAATATGAAGTAAAAAAATAAACGTTAACTTACCCTGCTGTGGTCTTTTGTTGTACAGTACGAGGAGAAAACAGAACAACTCTAAACCTAAACACGTCGCTTGCCTCCCTGCGGGAAAAACATTCGATTTGACTTGCTGCTGCGCTGCAATTGGTCAAGCAAGTATCGCGAGATAACCAAAGTAACCAATAGTGTGTCTCAAAACTAGGAACGAGAATTGCAGAAGACTAGCGGCGTTCTTTCAGCCCTGAAGTTTCGTAGCTTGTTTGAATGTTTGAACACAAATAGGATTCCACAGATACCGGTCCCATGATCCGTCCGTGCCACACGCCCAACACGCACGAGAGTCACTAAAAACGGTGGCTTTCAGAGAAACAGCTGTGACTTCCAGTAGGTATTAATTATCTTCAGGGAAATGAGCAAAAGCACTTACTTTCAGGAAAGAAATACATATAATTTTTTAAAATATGTTCTTTATTGCAATACAAAAGCAAGTGCAAACACAGACCAGGGGCTAACATATAAATAAAAATAAAGAAAATAATCAGCAGTTCAGGCAATTAAGAAATTTACATATATTGAGAGTCTTTAAGGCTTTGGGGTTTGAAGAGTGCTGAATAGTTTGTATGTATTGTTGCAATTCATTCAAATACTTTAAATAACGGTTTGCGGTTAGACAATTTACTGTTGTGAATGTGGAAATTTGCTAAAATAATGAAGAGATTGATGAGATAATACTGTTTTTGTTTTAAAGTGCAGACATCATAAAAACCAAACAGCACATCTTTGTACAGCAGAGAAAAATGGGCAGAAATGTTACAGCTGATATATTGTGCAAAGTCTTTCCAAAAAATAATAGCACAGTAAAGGACAGCTCCAAAATAAGTGTATGGTTGTTTCACAATGAAGTCCACAGAAAGAGCAGTTAATGTAAAGAAATACATATAAACATCACGTTGCAGTGTACAAATGACGTATGCACACAACAAATCCACTCTTGGACACAGGTCAGTCATCACTACAGTGAGAATACTTTCTGCACAAGGAGAATAGACAAATGCAGGCGTTTTAATGATAGCAATAATAATAATACCTCTAATTGTCAATAACTGTCTGTGTTATTATAAATTGAACTTCACAAAACACACAGTGGTTTTGTTTGGGGGGAGAAAATTGCATCCAAGAGATTTTGTTTATTTCTGGATGATTCTCATTTGTTTTTGTTATAATGAAATGTCTAATGTGGGATCAGAGGGAGCTGGTGTCAAGAAGTGTAATTCCCTATGAAGCAGTCAAAAGAAAGCAGTGTTTATTCAAGAATGCTTTGGATTTTTACAATATGAACAAACGTGATAAAATAGTGGTTAATCTCCCCCCACACACACACACACAAAATCCACAGAATAAATTGACATGGGAACCATAGAAGTTGATCCAGACAGCGGTTTATAAATCTGCATGAGACCTTCAACTGATTGACAGGATTGCCTGCTACTTCATGTCATGAGTCATTGAAGCTGTACCCTGCACCTTCATAATCACTGTAAACCAGATTGCAGTAACTGTCTCACCCTATAGTGTTTCTGATGTTATTACTGAGAATTCTATTTACTTGCATTTTCACCACACTTTTACCCCATAGTTACTCAATTCAATCACTGGAGGCGGTTGGAAGTTCACTGTACTCCCAAATTTGAATTGTTCATGTGAAGTTCCTGGATTGTTAAGCTTAGTGTGACCACAGTAATGTGATAAGTACAGTATGAAGGCTGTATGATATATTCAAGACTTAGCTTTATAGACTCAAGAAATCTTGTATGAAACCATAACTACCAATGTTTAAGATAAGGCAATATTATTTTATTGTAGTGCATTTAGGAAATACTAAAATACATTCAGTACAGAACACCACACTAAAGGGATTTAAATGACAATTAAAATGTGTTGCTCGTACGCATGTAGATTAAAAACTTTTGTTGTTTTTTTTTTATTTAAAAAGTAACGGTATAAAGTGTCCATTAGCTCCAGTCCCAAACATTTCTGAAGGATTTTTTTTTAAACCACACAGGCATACCGAGCTCCTCACAGTCTGGGCTGGTCTGGCAAATCTTCCAGAAGTGCAGGGTTTTTTCTGTAGATGTAGGCATTGGCGTCATCATCATCATCCAGCTTCACCAGCTCAGCTAATGACGACACACAGGGATCATGATCCACCAGCATCGTCGGCAGACGGGTGGATTTGCGTTCTATGCGGCAGGAACGGCGCACAGGTGTCAGAAACTTAAGATCTTTGATGTTGCTCTTTCTCCTGGATGTACTTCTACTGGCATCATCTGCAATTGCCTTCTTGACACTATTAAGGGATATTTGTAGATGAAAAGTGAAATTAAATTTACTTTGTGGCAATTTAACTCATGTTTAATAATGAAACTGAGAAAGATATTGCTAGCGTTAGAAATGGACTCACCTTTGCAGGTATGGAGTGGTTTTTACGCTGTACTTCACTACTGAAGCAGTCTCCATCTGTGGCGTCGTCTCCATCACACCCTCATCACTTTCTACTTCCTCGACATCCGTCTCGTCTTCCTTCCCACTTTCTTCTCCTTTATGCTTCACTTGCTCAACCTTTGGCTGCCCAGACATTTCATTCTTTAGCTTCATGGCCTCCAAAACATCACACAGGTTCACAACAATCTGTCAAAATGAAAAAGAGAAGAATATGGTTTATCACTATGGAAGGATTTCAAAAAAAAACACAATACACAGCAATACAAACAGTGCCCGTTTCCTTACATCATCTGCTCTGTCCTGTGGGTCAGGGTTAGGAGTTTGGCTGTGTATCATTAACCCTGCTCCCTGAGTATCTGCACAGTGAGCAGCAGCAGAGTCCGACTCGTGTGCTTCCACACTGGGCTCAGGTTCAGGGTTGCACTGTGCAGCTGGCTGAGGATCAGCATCAGGTTTTGCAGAGACTTTGGGTTTTGAAGGTGTTGCTGTTGTCATAGCTGGTCTCTTTAAAGTCTTGCCCTTGGAAGCTAGCCACTCTGCCAGTTTCGCTCTGCAGGAGGAACAAAATATTGTTCTTGAACATGTGATGTACAGTAACACCAACGTAATCATGTTTGTACTTAGGAAAAATGTTACCTTCTTTCCTCAGCAGTCTCCACGGTAAATTTGTAGTGGCTGAGGGTGCTTGTGACAGGAATTTTGTTGACTTTCTTGTCATTCACTGGGATCTTTGGCTTAGAGTTCTGGGTCCTACTTCCCTGAGTGGGAACACTTGACTTCCAAATAGATCCGATTTTTGACTGGACAATCTTGCCTTTGTACATCCCGGGAGCTGGTTTGGATAATGGCACAGGAGCTGGTGGCTTTGGAGCTTCTGCTTTAATTATTGTGTCTTTCACAGCCTGTTCAGTGAGGAAGGCCTGGCTATGTGCTTGTCCGACGTCAGTAGGTCCTTTCACGTCTCTCTGCACAGTCTTTACTTTTTTTAGAGCTTCACCAGACGTTGACCTTGTGTCCACCTGTTTGGCTTTTGCTTTAACAGGACCACTTTTTGCAAAGGTTTCCTCTTTTTTGTTGCTTTTCAGTTGGAAGGGAGCAGCAGACCTTTTATCTCTTTTAATAAAGGACTTGCTTCCATATGCTGGCTGAGCATTTTCCTTGTTTCCCTAATACAATTAAAACAACAAGGCTTAAAACAACAACTCTTAATAGAACTTAGTTAGAAGTCAACACAAGTATTTAATATATATTCATTAGCAATGACTTACTTTCTTATAGGTGTGGTTTTGTCTTGAAACTGCAATGTTGTCCATTGTGAAGCCTTAACCGGGTTAAATCAGTGGAGATTTCTGGAAGGCAAACAAAGCAATACAAAATCATCTAGCATACTAGGATTATACTTTTAATTATATGTATAACCTGCAAGTATGGTTTTATTAGGCTTATAGTTACTGACGCTGCCCCCTCAACTCCCACAGTGTGAAAACTTTCAAACAAATTCCACTGAAAGTACTGACAGCATTCAGTTGTGGGCATCTAAAAGTGCAATAACATCCCCTGTATCTACTTTCGTGCGAAATGTGCATATATTAAATTGTTGGGCACGTTTATATTTGTCGAAAAGCAAGAAAACATTAGTATTAAATATTAAAACACGTTGGCTTAAGCACAGTGGTCTGACGTGACGTGACGTTAAACAACGTAATTGTGGCCACATCTTAAAGTAAACTGACATGAGGAATAAAATCTAATAAACGTTAATGTTAGCGGGACTTTAGCTGTATGGGACATTGGCTGTAAGTTTTTTTTTTAAACTTATTTAATTAAAAAATGAACGTTAACTTACCCCTGCTGTGGTCTTTTGTTATACAGTATGTGGAGAGGGAGAAAGCAGCACAACCATAGACTGTTTATAAGAACAACACAACACGTCGCTTGCTTCACTGCGGAAAAAACATTGGATTGTTCTTGGCGCTGCTTCGCTGCAATTTGTCACGCAAGTATCGCGAGATAACAAAATTAACCTATCAAATGTCTCAAAACAAGGAACGAGATTTTTCGTTCCACACTCCAGTCCGCTTAGTGGCGGTCACGCACCTTTATGCCAAGTAAGTTTGCCAACCATAAAGAAGAAGGGACGCGATTTCAACCCACAGGTTTTCATTCCTTTTTGAATATTTGAGACTTTTATACAGTCTATAGTTTAAACCGAACACTTATGATTATATCTAATACCCGCCCATGCCACACACCCAACACGCACGAGAGTCAATAAAAACGGTGGCTTATTAGTGACAAACATGCAGCTGTGACTTCCAGTGTGTTAGGTAATAATCATCATTAGGGAAATTAGCAAAAGCAATTATTTTCAGGAAAAATATACATATAAACATAATTTTGTCATAATATGGCTGAGTACAAATCATCGACTGTATATAGTTACAGTTCACGTTTTCATAAGGAAGAAAAAACAGAAACAGTGAAAAAAAAAAAAAAACAATTATAAACAACAAAAATAAAGTATACAGCCAGAGTGTCAAACAATAAATATCAGTTAAATTAATTATAAAGTTATATTAGATAAATGTTGTAAACATTTTGATGCTGATTTACTCTTTAATCCAGAAATACAGACTATATAATTTTTTAAGTCAAATTTAAAAACATTGAAAAGAGGTTTGTTCTTCATAAATTTTGATTTATGAATAAAGCAAGATTAATAGATTGACTATGTATTGTACAGAGGAGTTTGAATCAGAAAAATAAAATAAAATGTCAAAATTGGATATTTTTAATGGTATTAATGATGTATACACACCCCCACCGTCTTGGAGGTGGGGTCAGTCATTACCACAGTTCTTTAAGACAATATTTAGACTTATCTGCACAAGTACAAAATGCAAAGCAGGCGTTTTAATGAAGGCCATAATAATAGGTATAATAGTCTGCGGTATTTATTATGAATTAATCTTCATAAGACGCACAACAATATGTTGTAAATATTGTTTTGAAATATGCCATGGCATATTTTCAACTTCTAGCCTTTGAAAGACTGCGGAGGATTATGGGAAAGGAGCGAAGCGCGCGATTTGATGCACGTTGTTCAATATATCAAGCTCAACGAAATTGTTTCCACAGCAAGCGAATTTACCTTCAAAATAAGATGACAACAAAAGGTATACACTAAATTATTTGTCTGTGGTTCTTCAGGAACAAGTAAACTAAGGCTAAAGGGACAAAGCAAACAAAGAATAGGAATCCACTGGAGCTGTTAAATAGGTGGTGAATACCTTTATTGCATGTTTAGGACATTTGACTTGTTAACCTAACATGGCCTAGTTGGCACATAGAATTTTTTGCGGGCTTGTTTATTAAAAAATAGGGATATTTTTCACATAAACACACACAGACAAAACTATTATTTTACCACAGACTATAATTTTTTTTTTTTTTTTTACTGTAGGTACTCTTATTTTAGTTACTAAAAAAAGCAATGTATTTTATTTTGAAAGTAAAATTAGGAAGTTTCCTTGCTGTTGAAAGTGGCTTGACAGCTAACTAGCTTTAGCAACACAGTTGGCTATCCTCTAAAGGTTTTAATTGCAAAGTACTGGTTTATGATACAAACGCATAATGCAGAATCACTGCGCTGTACCGAACTGCACTGGCGGGGAATCCGACCCTCAGCCACTCTTCAGGTTTCCGCATGATCCAGAAAGGTAACTAATGCTAATACCGAAGCAAACAGGAAGCTCTCAAGTTAACGTTACCAATAACTGTTTGTTTCTTAAAATACGACAGAGAATACATTTTAAAGACTAACTTGGTTGAATTGTTTCAGGCGCATTTTATGCAACGTAACGTTGTATGAGTTATAAGCTCTTTACATCTCAACATGCAAACTCTGTTCAGAGGTTGGCAGTATTTGAACTGATAAAGCACTGAACCATTAACTGAACCTCTAAGCCAACATATCGACTTTTAAACTTGCCTGCCTTTTGGTTTAACCTCTCCTTTTTCAGGTCCAAGAAGTGGGTTGAAAAATGCCAGAGGCAAGACCTCATTAACAAATCACCAGACCAGTTGTACAGATACTACAGACTTTGTGGAAAACATTTCGAAACGTCTTACATTGATAGTGTAAGTTGTTTTCAAATTGCATATGATTTTGGACCAAAAGAGGACGGTGTAACCCCAGACTTTGCAGTACTCTTAATGTATTTGCCTTTAAGTAAAAATGAAAAGGGCTTAATGCAGCCCTGCATATTATTTCACTAATTATTCAATAAATACAGCATATTTTGTAGTGCTTAGGGAATATGTGGGTAATGTGTAGGTATGTAGATTTAATACAAATTCAACATTAGTAACATTTTTATTAGCAGGGCTGCCAACTTCAGTTTAGTTTGGAGTGATTTGGGGTATTGCTGAAGTCGGTGCATTTTATAAGTAGGCCTTCTGTGAGATTACCCACCACAGGGGGCGATGTCATCACTCTTAAATCCTCGGGAATATAATGCATGTATAGATGAAAAACCAAGTGAACAATCATGGTCGGATGATCCCCATACTTGCCAAACTCCAGATGTGACACCAAAAATTGAAAAATAAAAACTGGGAATGTATTACAATTGTATGTGCTGTATAATTAACTTTTTGGCTTGACTGTGTTTTCAGGAAGCTCAGAGTACAGTGTTGAAGGATGATGCCATACCGACTCTCTTTGATGTGCCTAGCCAACCTCAAAATGGACAGGTGAAGCGCAGTAAAGAGACGGTGGGTAAATGAAATCTTTTTTATTTAATAAAAAATTATAAATTGATTTTTGTAGTTTCTATGAAATCACATATTAATTTATTTATCTTTGCAGACCAAAGATGAGGAAATGGAGAGTAAGGGTAGAAAAAGTAAGTAAAAATATCAACACACACATTTATGACTCCCATTTGTCACAGGATGAATGATTGATTTCTGTTTCTCTTTTAGAAATCAAAAAGTCTCAAGCAGGGACACCTAAGGAAGATGTCCAGACACTCCCAGAGGAAGACGAGCACAAAGGGTATCTTAAGTCACTATTTGAAGTTCTTGTACTGTTGGCAGAGCAAAGCATTCCCCCGACAGGGCCTGGTGAGGATAAACAGGATGGCCTTGTGTCAAGCAACTTTCACGCATTGTTAGAATATCGCATGAATTCTGGAGATGAACTCCTTAAGAAGAGGTTTGATGTGAATAAGGAGATCTGCTCCTCAGCTCAGCTGAATCAGTTGATTGAGGTGTGTGAGAAATGCATCCAGACTAAGCTGGTGGAGGAAGTTAAACAAAATGGCTTCTTCTCGTTACTTACTGAAGAGCTGGTGAAGATCTCAGGAGAGTGGTACCTCCCCATCTTTCTGCGTTATGTGGACCAGTCAAACTGCCAGCGGGAGAGTTTTGTTGGCTTTTTGTCCTTTGAAGGAGATGGAGATGCATTAGCAGAGAAACTGCTGTCTGAAATGACTGACAAATGGGGCTTAGATATGGCACAGTGTAGAGGTCAAGCCCACGCCTGTTTTGGAACAAATTTTGGTAAAATAAAAACATTCGCAGCCAAACTGATGGAGAGGTATCCAATGGCTGTGCTTACACTAAGATCTACTCGTGCATTGAACGTGTCACTGGCCAATGGCATGGCTCTCTCAGGGGTTCAGCTCGTCACTTCTACGTTCAAGAAGATTGAGTCATTCTTCAGTCAGTCCACTTTACTGCAGTTGGAGTTGGAGCATGCCATTTCGATTTTCCACCCAGACAAAGAGGAGAGAGCCAACGAACTGAAGGAGATCTGTCGAACCAGCTGGACCGGACGGCATGATGCATTTGAGGTGGCAGTGGAAATCCTAGAGGCATTACTACTCTGTGTGGACAGTGTGCATGACAACGAGGACATGAGGTGGAACGATCAAGTCGCACACAACGCTTTAGAGATTTCAAAAGCACTTGTTGATTTTGAGTTTGTCATGGCGTTGGTCGTGCTGAAAAACGTAATGACACTTACACGAGCATTTGGGAAGAACGTTCAAGGGAAAGCAACAGATGCCCACTTTGCTGCAACCAGTTTAAAAGCTGTGTTGCACTCCCTGATGGAAGTGTCCGACAACATAGATGTGTATCATGAGTTCTGGAACGACGAGGCTGTTAACCTCGCCGCTGCGATGGAGATCCCAGTTAAGATTCCTCGGTCATTCTTGAGAAAGCATCGGTCAGAATCTGGAGCCGTTCAGCCAGAGAGTTACTACAAGGAGCACCTGTCCGTTCCCGTGGTGAACTATGTCATCAAAGTAATGAATGAACTCTTCTGTGAGGACCACCTGAAGGCTCTGAGATGTCTGTCGCTAGTCCCTGCTGTCATAGAGCAGCATAAGTCTACTGAACCCGAGGAAGAGAGTGTGCAACTCTTTAAAAATGACATCCCTAATGCCGGAACCCTCTCCGCCGAGCTGCACTGTTGGTGGGTCAAATGGAGCAAAAAGGGCAAAGACGAGACTTTACCCTCCAGTCTGCATGAAACACTGCAGCTGGGCGACGTGAAGTTCTTTCCAAACATGCTTGCAGTTCTGAGGCTGATCGGCACCCTGCCCACCTTGGCTCTGGAGGACGGCTGTGACGTGGCGTACAAGCGCTTCCAGATGTACATGGCGAACACGCCTGATAAATTCAAATCAAAAAGTCTCGCTCTTCTGAACGTGAACTACGATGTTGGGTATGATTTGGATTCAGTGGTTGAGGTCTACATCAAGACATACCCTGACAGGGAGGAGGTTTCATAGTCAGCTGTGATATGACAGATTATCCACATCTTTGTAAATGAGTCTTGTGTAGACCGTGTTATCTTGATGAGATAAACATTTTTCTTTTTTAACTATCCAGCTCTTATACTGAAGTAGAAACTTTTGTGATAAAATGTAGTCTTTGAATAGAGAGCTGAAGCC